AGAGAGCCCAATGCGGGGCTCAATCCCGGACCCTGGGATCATGACCTGAGCCGAAGGCAGAGGCTTTAACCCACTGAGCCACCCAGGCGCCCCTGGAATCATGTTTTTTACCAGATTTGAGGGAGAGTTGACCATGATTTATTCAAATTTTTTCTTCTGCCCCTTTCTCTCTTCTCTGTTCAGAACTTCCACTCTACATAGGTTGTTCTGCTTGATGATACTCGACAGGAACTGGACATTTTTTCTTCATTTTTCTTTCTGACCCTCAGACTGGATAATTCCATCTGTCTTACCATCAAGTCCACTGATCCTTTCTTCTACCTGTTCTAGTCTGTTGTTGAACCCTTCTAGTTCTCCATTTCCATTATTGTAGTCTTCAGCTCCAGTGTTCTTGGATCCACTGAGAATTTTCTCTTTATTGATATTCTAATTTTATTCAGATGTTGTTTTTCTGATTTCCTTTGGCTCTTTGTCCATGGTTCCCTTTCACAAATAATTCCACTGCCTGGGCTTACTTAGGGATGTTTTCTGTCAAGTTCTCCCCCCAACACACCCCTGCGAATGGGCCATACTTTCCCATTTCTTTGCATGTTGCATAATATTTTGCAGAGAACTGGACATTCTGAGTATGGCATGTGGTAATTCTGGAAATCGAATTCTCTCACTCTTCAGGGAATCCTGATTTCAGCTCGTCAAGGGGGTGGAGCTGTCTGTTTATGACCTTTCTATACTGTTTTTACAAAGTGTATATTCCTTGTTATGTGCAGTTGCTGAAGTTTCTATTCTATTTTCACTTTGGGCAGCCAGTGACCTGACAAAGATTTCCTTAAATGTCCTGCTCCCAAAGGCAAGGTGGGATGGGAGGGTGAGGGAGTGAGGTCTATTTAAATCCCCTGCACCTGGGAAGCTGCCTCAGCATGGGGTGGAAACAGGGAAATTCACTGAAGTTTTGTTTTTTTTTAAAGATTTTATTTATTTGACAGACAGAGGTCACAAGTAGGCAGAGAGGCAGGCAGAGAGAGAGAGAGAGGAGGAAGCAGGCTCTCTGCTGAGCAGAGAGCCCGATGCAGGGCTCGATCCCAGGACCCTGGGATCATGACCTGAGCTGAAGGCAGAGGCTTTAACCCACTGAGCCACCCAGGCGCCCCATGAATTGAAGTTTTCATCAAATTCTCCCTTGCGTGCTGCAAGTGTTCAACTAGACTTCAGGGTTCCAAAAACCTGCCACGTAGTCTTTGCAAGTTCAGTAATTATTTTGGTGGAGAGAAGGATTCCTGGAGAATCTTATTCTGCTATCTTTTGTGATGTCACACCCTGTTCTAAACTATTTATAAGAATAGTCTGTTGTCAGCCTAAAAGAAAAGCATGGATTGATTAGAAATGTATCAATGCCAATGATTTGGGGGACAGTTGGCCGAGAGTTTCTGGTATCAATATCCTGGTTCTGTTTTAACCCTTTTCCTCTCAATCTTCCTCCCTCCTCTTGCATTTTACCATAAATAACAAGAGCTGAGGCTGTGTTTTCCATTTTACTTGGAAATCTCTTCTATTTAATGTCCATGTTCATCATTTACAAGTTCTGTTTTCCACCCACCAGCAATTCCACTAAGCTCTCTACAGCTACTTAGCGTCCTGTTTCCTCCTGGTCTCCAGTAACATGTTCCTTGTTTCCTTCTGAGCCCTCAGGGGCAGGAGTTTTAAAGTCAAGAGATTTCCGCTAATGGTTGAAGGCGGTTTTGGCTTTTTCCATTATGCTCCTTGACCTTCTTCCAGGTTTTCCTCACTGCTCAATTCCAAAGCCGTTCCCATATTTTTAGAGTTTGCTACAGTAGTACTTTGCTCTTGATACCAATATCAGTATTAGTTTTCAATTGCTCTCATAACAAATTACTTGGAACTCTATGACTCAGAACACAAATTTGTTACCTCACCATTCTCTAGGCTCAAAGTCCATCATGGATCTCATTAAGTTAAAATCAAGGCATCAGCAGGGCTGTGTTCCTTTCTGGAGGTTCTAAGAGAGAATTGTGTGTTCTTGATCATTTGTGTTGTTGGAAGGATTTAGATCCTGGTGGTTGTAGGTCTGAGGTTCCTGTTTTTCTTGCTGGCTATGTCTGGAGGGTCATTCCCAGCTTCCAAAGGTCACCTGAATTCCTTGTATTTTGGATGGTGGAAGGTCCCTTCTACCATCTTCAAAACCAGGAACAGAGGATCAAGTACATCTCACAATTTAAACCTGACCAAGTCAGCTGCCCTCTTTGTCCCTTTTAAAGACTCATGTGATTACATTAGGCCCAAGAAAATAATCCAGAATAATCTCTCTACCTGAAGGTCTTTGACCTTAATTCCATCCACCAAGTTCTTTTTGCCACATACTGTAACATAGCCGCAGATCCCATGGCCCTCTTTTTTTTTTTTTTTAAAGATTTTACCTATTTATTTGATAGACCAAGATTACAAGTAGTCAGAGAGGCAGGCAGAGAGAGAGGAGGAAGCAGGCTCCCCGCCGAGCAGAGAGCCCGATGCGGAGCTCGATCCCAGGACCCTGGGATCATGACCTGAGCCGAAGGCAGAGGCTTTAACCCACTGAGCCACCCAGGCACCCCCCCATGGCCCTCTTGAGGGGCCATTATTCTGCCCAACACGCCCTCACTAGGAGGTACTGACCTCTCCTGCTCCCCAGCCTGCTCCTTCTTACTCTCCAGAGCTCCTTTTTCCACAGAAATTCTGACCATCTTCTAGTTCCTGGATAAGGCCAAGGTCTGTCCCCACCCTCTTACCAGACTTGTCATTCTGACTGGGGCACTGTCTCCTACTCTAGTCACCTCATTCTTCAGGTGCCCACAGTTGGCCCACGTCTTCTCCATCTTGATAGGCCAGCACACCTCTCTGCAGAGTAAGTGCTTTTTCTAAACTGATTTCACCACCACCACCGCCCTCCCATTTGTGAGTAAGTAAGGCGGAGCCCTTTCTGTTCGGGATCTCACTGGATCCCGGTATCCGCGATGGAACTGGCAAACAGTGGGTGCTCACTGAACCTTGTAGAATGTAGAGATGGGCCTAGCAAGAGGCTGATGAATCCTAAGCTTCAATGCCCTTCTCTTCCAGGCCTTGGGAAGACTCCCAGTAGTGTGTCCGAAAAGGCAAGTCTTTTTTGTGTGTTTTTTTTTTTCAAAGATTTTATTTTTTTGAGACAGAGCACAAGTGGGGAGAGGATCAGAAGGAGAGGGAGAAGCAAACTCCCTACTCAGCAGGGAGCCCGATGTGGAGCTCAAACTTAGGACTCCGAGATTACAACCTGAGCCGAAGGCAGATGCTTAACCAAATGAGCCACCCAAACACCCCAAGTCTTTTTTTTTTTTTTACACTTGCAAAATGAAGATATTCTAACTGCATTCAGTTAGAACCTCTGTCTTTTCCCACTCAACCCCTCCACCCTACCTCTCCTCTTATAGGGGATACGGAAGAAGTATAATTTGGGGGGTTCAGGCAAAAGGAAGGTGGGTTGGGGATTGTCCCAGCAGACTCCAAGAGGGAGATTAGGATGTTTAGCAGGGAGTCAACTAGTTATCTAAGGGAGGGAGGGAAAGGGTTGACCAAGGGCAAAAACTAACTGTGATGAGGTGCTTCTGTGGCTGAGCTAGACCACTTGGCCGGTCTGCCCTCTCAGTGGCGGCAGCAGGCTGGGATCTGGGGGCCGCAGCTCCAAGTCAAACTCAGGGACACACTTGGTTTGGGTTTAGAGAGACCCAATGTAGTTTGCTCCACTCCTGCATGTGGTTAACTAATTGTTCCTGTCCTGGTACAGGAGGTCCCAGGAACCTCCTGACAGATCAGAGCTCCTGGTCAGGAGAAATACAGGATCCTATCGCATTTGCAACCCTAGGTGCCCCCACAGCGCCCAGCGCTAGAAAAATTGTGGGCCACGAAAAGAAGTTTTGAAATGTCTGGGGAGCCCGAAGCCTATCCTGGAGAAACTCCTCCAGATTCCACAGCTTCTATATGAAGGTAAGTTGATGACCGTTTTCCAAATTTGAAAACCACCCAGACCATTGATGAGACGTCATCAATAACAGGTTAGGAGAGGAATTTTCTAAATTATCAAAAACTAAAACACGAATGCCATTCAACCACGTTAGAAGAAAGACTGAGTTCTTTTTCTGTTTTCTGTAGAGAGTATGTCCCCACTATGTCAAACCCGTCATCCTATATGGAGGTTTTCAGAGTCGGCAGCCGGGGGTTCAGAAGAACACACAGTCCAGAAACACGTCCGGACATCACCGCAAGCACATCATTGGTCTGGATTTTGCATTGTAAGGTCAACTCTTTAACATTTGTAATCTCTCGTTTCTTTCCTCTTGTGAATGCACCTGTTTCTATTTTTGAATATTCTTTTTCTAAAACAGACCTTCAACATGCACAGGTCTCAGTACCCACTCGGCCTGGGTTGTCTGCAGTAGAAGGAAGGGAAGAGGGGGTGAAGTTCAGCCCTCATTCCACTTCCAGGGGACTTAGGGCGGGGGCTGCCCAGGCGCCAGACCATGTTTGGGGCTGCCACAAGGATGAAGGCAGCCAGGGCTCACCCTCCAACCACCGTCCGCCCCCCTACCCAACTCTCTGCATCACCAGCTGGGAGCCCTCATTGACTCAGCCAGGTTGTCACCTCCTCTGGGAAGCCCTCCATGGACTACCCAAGTCTGCCCTGATGGTCAAGTCTTGTCCCACCACACTGGAGCCCCTGAGGAGCCCCAGAGGAACAGCTGGATTTGTGGGTGAGACCTTAGGGAAGAGGGGTCTGTTGGTAGGGGCAATGGAGCAGTGTGAGCCCATTCCATCTTCCCACCCATCCTGGACACAGAGGCCTCCAGTCTGCTGGCTACAGAAGGAAAAAGGGGACACAGGGTCCAGGCAGGCCCGGAGAGAAGACACACACACACAGGCCTAAGGCTGGCCCAGAGCCTTAGGCCATCCTCAGGTCATCAGGCAAAGGGAAGCATATGTTGGGTCACCCACTCTGGGCGGATATCCCCTTTATTGGGGTCTTCTGTTGGGTGGATATACGCTGCAGGTGGCCCTCGATATGGACCAGGAGGGAATCCAGCATGTGCAGGACCCCAAGGAGCAGGGCGCGGTCTGAGATGGGGGTCCGCCGTTTCCAGGGTCCACTCGGGTTAGTGGTCACCTGCGGATGCTGAGGAAGGACCAAGAAGCAGGAGTTAAGAGCAGAGGGATAGGGTGGGGGTGTGGGGAGGGGCAGCGATGAAACCGGGGAGAAGGGGATGGGAAGGGAGATGGTGATGGTCAGCGAGGGTCTGCCGTGGGCTAGGGTGGTCACAGGGGGCTGGATGAGGGATAGGGATAGTAAATGGGTGGACAGATGGGGGCAGAGTACTGGCCACAGGGAATGGTCAAGGGCTGATGGGTATGGACCGGTGTAGGGGCCATAGGCTGTGAGCCAAGGGGGAGAGGACGCAAGGCCTGGGTGGAGGATGTGAGTTCACAGGGTGGGAGCGGAGGCAGGAGGCTGCGGAGGACCAAGCAGCACTGTACTCACCTCGGACTTGGTGGCCTGGGAGCGCCGCCGCTGCAGCACCGCACGGCCCATCATCAGCATCATAGTGGTGGTGATGGTGACCCCAGCCACGGGGTAGAGGCGGTTCATCCCCAGGCCCATCCAGTGGCCGGCACAGCCCAGGCTGCCCCTGCAACCTTCCAGGCTGTTGGGCTGACATCCCCAGGGCTGAAGATCCAGCCCCACCTGGTACCACAGGGGCCGAGACCAGGCCTGGGAGGGAGCTGGCATGGCCAGCAGCGGCAGCAGTAGCAGGAAGGATGGTGCGAGCAGCATGGCGGTGCCAAATGCCCAGATAGAACCCGGGTGCCTGGCAACGGGCAAACACCCCTCCCCCAGCAGCAAGCTGTGGGTTCCAGCAGGATCCATGGCCTTTCAAGGAGGGGCAGCCTGGCCAGGCAACACTGCTCCCTTAGCCTCCCTCCTGTGACCCTGCTGGGCAACACAGTCCCTTCTCTCTTGTGTGACCCTGTTTTGTTTCCTTCAAAGTCGTTCTAACAATGTGCAAGTTCTTATTTGAGGTCTGTCTGACCTCCGTTCTGGCCCAGAAGTTTCCCTTACCCAGTATTTGCCAAGCGCAGCACAAGCCAGGCACCGTTCCTGTGGCCGGGACATGGCGTGTCAGAGTGGATTAAGAAGCCCTGACTTCCTGGCCTGTGATTCTGGGGGGTTGGGGCAGGGCAGAGGATTCATGAACACAGAGCAGGATGCCGCCGCCACAAACAATAAACACTGAGCTGGACAAGGAGCACTTCGGTGACAGGAAGGGCAGTGCGGCCTCTGTCCACTGGCCCAGCACTGAGCAGGGTGCCTGGGCAGTACCTGCGGAAGGCAGAGCTCCCGGGCTCTGAGCAGGGAACACTGGCCTTGTTAAGAGCATTCCTTGGCACGGCCTCATCAAATACTTACCAAGCAACCCACGATGTGGGAATGGTGACATGACCATCCCTGTTATTCCACCACGGAGACCCAAAAGATTCTAGGCGCCCCCCCCCCCGCCTCCTCTCATTCAGGGCTTCAGCTGTCCCAGAGGAAGGCCCATGGCCGCCCACTGGGCGACATGCCCAGATGCTGACCTTTTAAGGTAGAAGTCAGCACATGCTTCTGGGTGGAGAGTGACCTGCACAGCCCGAGTGACCTAATGATACGAACAGACTTTTTTCCCAAGTAAGTCAATCCTCCACATGCTTGCTTCTTGACACAGGCTAGGAGCACCTGTGGACACCTCGCTTCCCCAGCAGGTTGCTCAGCTTCACTCTCCGCCCTCCAGGGGCTGGACTCACCGGGACCATTCCTGAGAAGCAGATTCCACAGTCTTCCGGCTAAAGACACAGGCGCCGAAGGTTGTGCGTGGCTGGGGAGCGTGAACCTGGGGTGCCCCCACCCTGGCCTTGGGCCCCATAACTCTCCCTCTGGCTCTTTATTCTCCCACCTGACTCTGCCCTTCCCAAGCCTTCCCCCCCAACTTCTGACTCCAGCCCACCATGTTGGGGCATAAGAAGGGTGTCAGGAGCCAGGGCTGTGGATCACTGCCCACTCCACCAAGCCCCCACCAAGGCACAGCAGAGCCTAGTGGTAGGCAAACAGGTCTTTATTTCTGGGGCTAAAAACATGGATCTTTCCCCAGCCCAGCTGGTGCCGGTCTGACTCCAGTGCCCCATCACAGGCCCAGGCCTATGGCACTGAACTTGGGAATCCCAGGACCTCCATCCCTGAGCTGCGTGTGTGTGTGTGTGTGTGTGTGTATACGGAGGGGACTCCTGGGTGACATCTGGAGGCAGCCCCAGGGCGGGGAGTTTCTCACAAGCGCCTGGTCACAGCCTCCAGAGGTGAGCAGTGGTAGGCAGGGCGGAGGCATCGTCAGAGTTTGGTTGTCTGAGTAGGTAGAGAGGGAAGGCTCCAGTCAGTTTCCAAAAACACACAGCAGCCCCGTCCCCCAGGACAGCGACCCCTGCCCCTGGGAGCAGCTTCAGTGGAAGGAGGGAAGGGGTACCAGTGGGTCCACTGGGGGCAGAGCCATTCAGAAAGGGTGGACTTCCTGGAGGTGGGGGTCAGGGTAGGGACAAGCAGTAGACAGACAAAAAGAGCTCAGGGAGCCAGAGGCCGGCTCACCAAAACAGGGCTGGCAGGGCTGGACCTCGGGTGCTGGAGGGCAAAGAGCACAGCATCGTGGACAGAAGCAAAGAGATGCTGCTTAGTGATCGATGCATCGAAGAAGTGCCCAGCCTCAAGCTGGGAGACCACAGGAGCTGCAGGCAAGGAGTAGGTCTCCCCTGACTTGCGGAACCACCAGGCACGTCAAGCCCCCAAACTCAGTCACCAGAAAACCCTGACCCATTTCACCCATGACCTCTATGCCTGAGGTTACAGCTAAACCTCCAGTCACTCCTGACCCTTGACCCCCGCCTCCCAAGACCCCTCTGACCCTCAGTCTCAGAGACTTTTCTTTGTGCTGCTCGGCAGACTCCTTGGCTAGAAGAGCCCCACTCCCCGACCAGACCCCTTGTGCCGTTGCCCCCCACGCACCGTGGCAGGCGGCCATGTACACCTCCACCTCGATCTCTCGGAAATCACGGAAAATCTGCAGCCAAAAAGTGGGGGCTAGACTCAGAGGGAGGTTCGAGGACTCCGAGGAAGGACTCTGGCAGGTTGAGGTGGAGAGAGTTTTGAGATGGAGCTCAGAGGGGCTCTTGGATCTAGTTATGGGGTCAAGAGGCTTGGGGGGGCCTTGTCCTCTCCCATGGCTCTTCTTAGGAGCACCCCAGCCCCTTACGTTCTTCAGGCTCTTGATGCACACAGTGTCCACAAAGGAGAGGGCACCCAAGTCCAGGATGAGGCTGTGGAAGTGTGGCTGAGGCAGGCCCAGGGCCTTCAGTGTGGACCCGTTTGCGGCCTTGGCATCTTCTTGACCGCTGGCTGTTGTATCCTCTAGCTCTTTCCCTGCGCTCGCCTGCTAGGAAACCAGACACCCTGCAAAGGCTGCCCGTGAAGGGGTGATGGCAAAGAACACAGGCAAGGGCCACACAGGATCAGATGTGGGACCCCGCATGCAAACACCCGCCTATATGGGACGTGCAGGGGACATGTGAAAACCTGGACATGGGGGAGCCTCTTGTATATAAAGACAGGAGGGACACATGGGGATGCAGAGGAGAGGAAGCCCAGACTTAGAGAGCACGCAGAGATGTGCATATACTGCTCTGTTACCTCCCAGGCCCAGGCCTAGGGATGCTTAAAAAGGTGGGGCGCTGGGCGACGGTGCCCCATCCTCAGCCAGCCAGGGTGGGGCGGGTAGGGGGCCCAGGGACATGTGAGCACACACAGTGTGGCACCCCACCTGGGTCTCTAGTTGAGCTTGGTGTCCCTTTTGATCCTATATTTTCCCCTTAACCCCAATTCCTTCTCTCTACCCATGAGCACAGACTATGGGGTCTTGTGGGCTCTACAAATTCAAGGTCTTTGGACAGCAGACCAGAGAGCCACAGGGAAAATCTATGGCAGATCACTAGGCCTCTCCCTATAGGGCACTGGACCCATCACAACCCCCCCACCCGCCCACCGCTGGCACGACTACCTCGAACCCACGGCTTTCCCCGCAGGATGAGCGGACCACTCACATCTCTGCAGCTCACGGCTGCCCCCTCTCCCACCAAGCCTCTCTCACCCTGGCCGTGGAGTCGTCCACATTGTTGCTCTCCACGTCTCTGATGTTGGTGTTGACTTGGACGGAAACAGAAGTGCCCTCAGAGGCAGCAGTCTAGGCCAGGGGAGAAGGAGGACAGGAAAGAGCTGTCCCGGCTATCATAGGACAGCCAAGCCATCCTAGTCTGGTGTCACCCCCAGGCTTTGGGCAGCTAGGCAGGCCAGGGACTAAAGCTTGGGACCCAGGGCTGCCAGGCTGGGGTCGGTGGGGTTTTGACCAGTTCCAGGAACAGCCAAGAATGGAAGAGGTGGTCCATGCTGTCACTGGCATGGGGGCGGGGACGAAATCGAAACTCTGCCCAGAGCGCTGACCTTGGGGAGCGGGGAGCTAAGCAGGGGCCCCAGGAGGGGGCATCAGGGAGAAAGAAGGGATGAGTGAGGCTAAGAGCTCAGGAGGCCAGGAGAAAGAGCATGTGGGTTCAGCAGCAGGACGGGGGCAGGAATCCCCGGCTCGAAGGGGCCCCTGCCTGTTTCTGGGGGGTCTTCTGCATCCGTTTCAGCTTCTGCTCCTGCTTCCTGAGCCACTTCTTCTTCTTCGAGATGAGGTGGTCAACGTCTACACCACACTAGAGGCAAACAACACGGAAGGGGATGTGGACGCTCTGGGGTGGGGAGAGGCCCTCTGACACTCACCTTGGGGACCCCGGGACTCACCCTCTTCTTCAGCGCATCGCTGTAGAGCTCAGCATTAGCGAAGTACATGGTGGCCGAGGAGCGGAAGACCTTCACACCTGGGACCTCCCTGGCCTGGGGATGGGGCAGGGTTGGAGTGGCTGAGCCCTCCACTCTCCTGGCTGTCTTGTTCTCCTCCTTCCCTCCCCCCGTGTGGCCCAGGACCTCCCCCCATCACCAAGCCTCTGCTCGCTGGCCAGCAAGGGCCCAGCCTGCGGCCCCTGCCCTCCCAAGATCTTAGGCCACAAACTTAGCCGTATCACCCTAACTCCTCGTCCTGCTCCCTACCCCTCACCCTCGTCACCCAGGCCCTCAGCCAGGCCTGTCAAAGCTTCCTCCAGGGCACCCTGTGCCCTCCCTTCCCATCTCCCCCTACTTCTGCCAATACCCAGGTCAGGCTCTTAGGGGCTTGGCCCCCTTGGGGCTCCACCGCCCACCCTGTGATCAGTTTCCTGCATGTGCACAGAGAGACCCTCCCCTGTTTCCACTCCAACAAGGGCTCAGCACTTGGGCCTATATAATGCATCCCACCTCCCTTTCCATCCTGCTGGGCTGCACCCCTCCTGCTCTCCCCTCACTCTGCCTAATTATACTATACTCAGACTCCAAGGCTCCATGTCAGCAGGAATGGGCTTGTTTTATTCCAGAACCCCACTATTAGGCATGAAGCTTCTCAGGAGGTAAACGGACAACTGGGATGTAGAACTCCACTGATCAGGTCAGCAAAACAGCCTCCCCTACATCCTGATGCCCCAGGCTCCTGCATTCCTGCCCCAAGGCTGCTTGGCAGGATAAGGCTTATACTGCTGGCTCTAAGACAGACCCCTCTCCCGGCTCCCCGGTCCCTCTCTGTCCACTCCTCTGTCCTTTCATAGTTCTAAGTAGGAGTCACGGACCCAAATTCCTTCCTTAAGTTCCCAGGACCAAAGCACCCTCAGCCCCCAGGGTCTTTGCCTGATGCATAAAGGACTAACAAAGGCCCATTCTACCTCCGTCCCACCCACCAGGCCACCCCCTGCCTAGGCCCTGCCACCCACCTCTGAGTATTCGGCCACATCTTGGTAAATATCCGTGTCTGGCACCTGCCCCAAGACAGAGTAGCGGGGCCTGTGAAGGAGAGAGTGTGAGGAGGGGATAATGAGGGGGTACCAGGGAGCCTCGGGCTACCCACGAGATGTGGGAAAGCCGGGGGGAGCCAGCGTGGCCTTCACACCACCCACCCCAGCTGGGATGGGGGGACCAACAGGGAAGACTCACAGCTGCGTGCGGAAGACCACGAGGAGCAGGGAGAAGACGACGGCGATCGCCAGGCCTAAGTCCAGGTTCAGCAGGATGGTGGCCACAAAGGTCACCAGCCAGATGAGCTAAAAGAAGGAGGCAATGTGGCTAGGGGAGTAAGAAAAATGAAACTCCGCCCTGAGCACTGACCTACAGTGGTGGGGTTGGGGGGAGGGCCTCCGGGAGCAAAGCAGGGGCCCTGGGGGCGTCAGGGAGAAAGGAGGGATGAGCGAGACTAAGAACTCAGGAGGCCAGGAGAAAGAGTATATGGGTTCAGCAGCAGGATGGGGGGTCTCACCAGATCCATTCGATTTGACTTCCAGAGGGAAGGAATGTCGGTGAACTGCTTCAACATACCCTTCAAGTTCACGATAATGGCAGCCGCCAGCACAGCCTGGGGGAGGGGTGGGCGTGTCACAGTGGCTGCTGAGAGGTACCCAGATGCTGACAAGCCTGACCACCCAGCAAAAAGCAAGACTGATGCTGGCATAACCCCACATGACGCTCACGGCCACCCCTGAGCCAAACACCCTGGATCTGAACCTGAAGGGTTCTAATCCCTGACCCTCCACTCCAAGTTTCACCTGAGAGAGAGCTCAACCTTGAAAAACAGGTCATGCACCACCTTGTATTCCTGCCCCTTGCCCCTGGCCTGGCCAAGTCCCTCAAGCCTGGCTGGCTGGATGTGGCCACTCACCTTGGGCAGATCTCTGAAGAGCTCCCCAAGTTTGACGATGATAATGAGGATGAAGAGGGAGGAGACAGCCCCAGCCACCTGCAGGGTGGGAGTGAGCAGGGGGGTGGGGCGGGGGTGTAGGGGTGGCGGGAGGAGCTGGGTGGGATCGCCGAAAGCTGCGTGTGCGCACGCGCACAGATGCTCGCGCAGGCGCACAGATGCTCACCCCTGCCCAAAGCCCACCTGTGTGTTGCCTCCAGAGCCCTCCTGCACCAGGCTGCGGGACATGGAGCAGCTCACGGGGAAGCACTGGAAGATGCCCCCAATGAGGTTACTGAGGCCGAGAGCCACCAGCTCCTGGTGGAGAAAAGTGCAGGTGTGTAGTGCCTGCTGCCTGTGCCACTCTGTCTAGGCCTAGGTGTCCCCAACCTCCATCCACACTCAACGGCCTCCCGGGCTTGGCTGCCACTGTCCCAAATGCTTTGCTCTCCCGCCCTCAGTCCCCTGCACGGCCCCAGCATGTCTGTTTGCTATTTCCCTATGTCCCACCTGACACTCCACACCCCCTGCCCCCAGGCCCTGGGGTCTCCGTATACCCAGCTACCCCCAGACCTGGTTGCTGTCCACCCGGTAGCCGTGCCTCAGGGCGAAGATCTTTCCCAGAGAGATGGCAATGGCAAAACCAACCACAGCGATGGTGAAGGCATATCCCACCAGGCTGGCGAACAGCTGGGGGCTGGGGGCCGCTGGGGGCACCAGCCTGTGAGGGGCATTTGTGAGGCCAAAGGAGGGAGCCGGCCCTGGTCCCCCAGCCCTCACTGCCCGGGCAGGGGCCAGAGCTCACCCTGCAGGGATGTCGCCCACAACATCCACCCCAAATCTAGACTTCAGGCCCACGCCGTAGGAGATGCCTGTGGCCCCGATGAGCTGGGGAGAGAGGACAGAGTCAGGGGAGGGGTTCTGGCATCATCAAGGGGGTGGAGAAACCTCTGTGGGGGTGAACAGCGAGGCCTGAAGCAAAGCCTTTGGCGGTTGGGGGCGGCGGGGGAGAAGTGGGCAATGGGGTAAGCTACACCACCACCCTTTGGGGAAAGGAGACGATATCAGGGTCCAGAAGGTACCAACATGGGACCTTCCTGCTGTGGTCACACCCCATCCTCAGGAACTCTCTCCGGTGCCCACTCCAGCTGGTCGTTAAATCCCGGGGGTGCCCACTGGCCAGGATGTATCCCTCCCCCCCCACAACAGATTCCAAACCGTGAGCAGCTCCCCAGGGATCGGCATGGGCAGGTATCGGTGCAGCTTGTCGCTGAGCAGCTTCAGCAGCACTAGTACCACCCCTGACACCAACGCAGTGACCACCGTGCCGACCACACTCCGAGGCAGCAGCGAGCAGACCTCCAGCACTGTCTGAGGGGAGGCAGGGTCACCGGCAGCACTCAAGGTCGTGGGGCGCACCCAGCTGGCCCTCCTCCTGCCCGCACTCACATAGATGAGGGATAGCGGCCCAGAGCGGCTGCTCAGCTGGAGGCCAAACACATACTTGAGCTGCGAGACGAAGACCTGCACAGATGCAGCTGTGGTATAGCCTCGGACGAGGGGCTCCGACAGGTAGGTAACCACGAAGCCGAAGTGGACCAGACCCAGCCCCACCTGTGGGGTGGCCAGGGGCCATCATGGGAGGCAAGGGTCAGGGTCGTCAGGTCGGCTGCAGCAGAGCCCAGGGCAGGGGGTGGGGGGATGAGGGAGCAGCCAGGGGGAAGAAGAGGGCAGGGATGGGCAGACCCTGAGGGGAACTGGCAGGGGAAGGTCGGAGGGAGGGGCGGGGGGGGGGTCACGTCCCCCCGCCTGCTCTGCACCTGGAAGAGGCCGACCAGGACGCTGAGCGTGGAGGCCAGCTGCACCCGGAAGTGGTCTCTGGCCACCTCATCCACGGTGGCGTTCACACCCTGCAGGAAGTTCTCATCCGGGGCCAGGGATTCTGTCACACTGCCCACCATCACAGACATGACAGCAAAGGTGCCTGCAGGGGTAGGTCAGGATGGGTCTGAAGGGGACAGGGCATTGACCTACCCTGGAGCCCTGCCCTTAAGGGGAGAGATCAGGAAACAGCTGGTTCTAGACAAGTATCTTCAGACTACGTCAGGCAGATAGATGCTGTGCTGATGGTCAAGTATGAACTCTGAACTTAAGGACTCTTGAGGGTGGCTAGGAATGTTGGTCCGCATCACCTTCCCTGCCCCACCTGTGTCCATCAGCCCGGAATCACACCCCTTGCAGAGGTGAGATGGGGAAAAGGGCTCAGCCTGCCTCAGGCTGGTCAGGACTCTGCTGAGTTCTGGACCCTTCGAGCTGCCTCACCCACCTCCTCTTGGAGACAGGAGCTGGAGCTCTCCTGAATCTGTGTCCCCACAGTCAGAGGCCTAGTCCTGCGTGGAAATGACCGTGGACCCAGCACCAATGTTGTCGCCTTTCCTAAGTTCCCTTGTCCCTCCCATTCAGCCCTCCCTCACCCTGTCCTCCACAGGGGAAGGTGGACATCCTCCTGTAAGGCCCGAGTCTGGCTCCACTCACCCACGGAGATGTGCCGGGAAGTGCCAAACAGGAAGTAGACAAAGACAGGATAGAAAGAGCTGTAGAGGCCGAACACGGGGGGCAGTCCAGCCAGGAGGGCATAGGCTAGGCCTGGAAATGGAATGGTAGCAATGGAGGCTTGGAGGCCAGGGCCTTGAAAAGGATGAGAGAATCCCAACCCTAGGTCATGGGCCACAGTTCCAGGGGCAGCGCTCACAGCATCAGATTATGGGGGTGGACGAGACCACAGGGCTTCTGGCCCAGGGCCTTGAAGGATTGCAGATCACCCCCAGCCAGGACTCAGGGTACAGCCTCCGGGTCAGGTAGGGCTCACCCTGTGGGAGCTGCATAATGGCCACACTCAGGCCAGCCAAAAGGTCGCCCAGGAGCCAATCACGCAAGGGATACCGGGGTAGCCAGGACAAAACTGGGAGGTACTGGAACAGAAGGGCTCGGGCCCGAGCACGGGAGCACCTGTGGATACAATGGTAGGTATTGGGGACAGGGTCTACCTAGGTCCTGCCAGGGCCCCCAGACCCCCACCCTCAGCCTTACTGAAACCAGGTTCGCCACTGGTAGGTCCTGGTGGCTGAGGTCCGGTGCCCCAGCTCCTCCAGCTGTTGCTGGTTCATCAGTGGCCGCTCCACATGGTAGTCTCGATTCCTCAGCTCCATGGCCTGTGTCACAGGCAACAGTGCCTGTGTGTCCCTCCGTCTGGGGTGGCGAGACCAGAGTCACAGTGAGTGTACCCCTGGTCCAACCTCCCCCACACTTCCACCTGGGATTAGAAAGTCACCCACTTGACTTTTCTAGGCCTTAAGATCTAGGTAGCTGAGAGCTGGACCCACGCCCAGCCAGAGAAAATCTCTGAACTTTGGCTGGGAAAAGTCTCTCACTGGGCCAAAGTCCCCTATGAAAAGATGGCAAAATGAATACAATCCATACCTCCGACCCAGGTAGAGCTGCCCACCTGTGAGTGTGCTATCGGTCCCTATCCCAGGCTGACTATCCCCCTGACTGTGCCCCCAGTCCCTCCCCCAGATAATCCAGTCTCTGAGTCCCCATCCAGCTGCCCCATGAGCTCAGTGCTGTCTGAGAGCTTGCACGAGGAAGGGACCCAGCAACCAGGGGTCCAGTTCTTCAGTCAGGTTCCTCTTTTTTTTTTTTTTAGGATTTTGTTTATTTATTTGACAGACAGAGATCACAAGTAGGCAGAGAGGTAGGCAGAGAGAGGAAGGGAAGCAGGCTCCCCCTGGGATCATGACCTGAGCCGAAGGCAGAGGCTTTAACTCACTGAGCCACCCAGGTGCCCCCAGGTTCCTCTCTAGAGTGGCTCCCCTCTAAGGGAAGGAAAGTACTGGGGCTAAGATTACCCTTGGGCTTCCAGCCTGGGGGTCCAGGCTACAGACAAATTCAGGCTTGATCTGGGAAAGCCAGGGGATGGCTCTCACATGGAAAGGCAAGCCCCCACCTGAAGTGGGCAGATTTCCCCTCCAGAGATCCTACCACTAGGCTCTTTCTCCCGTAGGGAAAGCTCTCACCCGACAGGAAAGTTTGCACCAGCCAGGTATGTTCTGTGTTGGAGAATCTCTTATCCACCCAGAGGCTCCCACCTATAGGGGAGAGGGGAGGGAAGAGGGGGACCTCCCTTGGGAATAGGCGATCTGTGGGGAGGGAGTTCTCATTCGAGGAACCACATACTGGGAGGGAAGCTTTCTCCGGAAAGTTTTCACCTGCCAGGAAAACCAGGAAAGTTCTCATCCGCAGAATACTCTCGCCTAAGAGAAGCTCTTACCTGGCTGAGGCTCCCACCTGGAATGGCTGAAAGCTCTCACCTGGGAATAGATCCCGGCGCAGGAGTCTTCCCTGAGGGGGAACTCTCCCCTGCTGGGAAAGTTTTCAGGAAAGTGCTGTTCTGTGGGCTCTGACCTAGGGTTAGGATCCCACCTGAGGGGTAGGAACTCGCCTGGGAAGAACTTCTAACCTGGATGTCCCGGCTGGAGAAGGGAGTGGAGTGGGTGCAAGGCAGATCCTCAGAGACTCTTGGCACCGCCGTCTCACAGAGATCTTTGAGTACCCTTGCCCCTCCTCCGTGAGTCACTCGGGTCTTCTTAAAGGGCTCCCCCATTCCCCAGGCCACGTGCTTGGAGGGCGGGGTCTCGATCCTGGGCCCCTCCCCCTGGGAGGGCACCTCGAGCCCCTCAGTCCCGCTCAATGGTACAGCTGGGTGGGCTCGGGCCACCGCTATGGGCTCCTTGCGGCGACCTCCGGGCCTCAACGTGCCCAGCGGCTCACCTCCAGGGCTGGCTCTCCTCCACACTCAGCCGCCCCCTACGGCCCGAGGCTAGCCCGGGGGCGACGCTCGAGCGGCTTCCCGCACACCCCTCCGGGACGGAGGGTCGCGCGGGCTCCCGCCCCCATCCCCCGCTTCATGGGGCAGCCGCCTGCAGAAAATCTGCAGAGCTGCAAACCAGGGCGTCGCAGGGGGAGGATGCCTGCTCCGGACTTAGCGGTACCCCTTCCGAGCTAACCCAAGCCGGCGCCCGCACCGGGGCCACGCGGCAGCTCGCGGACACGGACGCGGGGAACCGGAACTGTGCCCTGCACTCACCCTGAAGCTTCAGACAGCCCCATGGCCAGCGGGCTGCCTGCTTGGTGGCGGCTGCTCCCAGAGCCCCGGCGAGAGGCCGCTACAGTTCGGGAGGGGAGACCGGGACTTACGGCATGCTCGGAGGGGCCAATCCCTGGACAGGACGGGGCAGGGTTGGGCCAATCAGCATGCTCGGGCGGGGCCTGAGGGACGCTGTTTGGGCGGTGCGAGCCCCGGGGCGTAAGATTTAACCCCTTCCTCCCCTGCGGCCTGGTTTCCGCTACCCTTCTTGGCTCGCCTAGTCCTCCCTGAGCCGGGTGGAACTTAGCTGAGACTAAGGATCCGCGCTCGGCTGATGGAAGCAACGGCCCCGGGTACCTGAATATGACAAGGCGGATACCAAGTCCTGGCTTCTCTCGGAGGGTCCCCGCGGGATGGGGAGGGAAAGCCCCCAGATGGGCTGCGTGGGGACGCTTCTGGTAACCACAGCCTTAGCTCTTCTTAGGGTATCCGGTCCCTGGGGCCTCTTCCGCCTCCCACTCAGGGCGTCCCCTTAAGACCAGGCAATGTCTAACACTGAAGGTGCTCAAAGCCTCCCTTCAACTCTGTACATCCAGACCTGAAGTGAGGCAGCCAGAGGTTTCCCTCCAGCACACCTGGCATCTGGCCCGGAAGGCTTGCGGGGAAGGAAGGCGATGTCCTGGCCAGCTGCAAGTCTGAGAGGCTAGTAGGGGTCAATGCTGTTAACGGGCTCAGGGATTGGCAAGGGCAGTTCCTAGAGGTGGTGGAGCCCTGGCCAGAACAAAGGCTAGGTTAGAATTGCAGGCCCTGAAGACCAAGTCATAGTGCTGACACCTTGAGGAGAGAGGGTTTCCCTGGCGCCTTACTTCCAGCACCTGTGCTCATACTTCAGGCCCCTGATCACACGGCACCAGTCCAGAACTCAGGGTGAAAGAGATAGGAACCTGTTCCAAACGTCAGATGAAATTAGCTAAAAATAGCTGAATATTGAGGGGGGGCAGCGCTCAGATTTCTCCCAAAGGTCAGGTTGGTTTGAATAATTCATAACCACCCTTCTATCCCACCCACCCCACTCCCACCCCCAAACAGAAAGAGGCAATAACCATTTTCTATAGAAGTTTAATCCCAAAACAGAGCGCGGCTTCACGGAACAATTTACACAGACAGGGAAAGGGGCCAGTGGGCTGGAGCAGGGGATCCCCGGAGAGGGGCATCTATAGAAGCTAGGACATAGCAAGGACAACCCCTTCTCCCCACAGTGGGCCCCTCAACCCTTCAAGGGCTGGGGTCATTCTGGGTAAGGAGAGCTGGAGTCCTGGCTGGCAGGATTTGGCACCAGTCAGCAAAGTAGAACTTTTAATCTCCTTGGAAACTGCCTCCCAGGAGTGTGTGTGGGGGAAGGGGGGTGTCTGCACAGACCCCCTACAACCCTGCACAACCCATGGTTCCTAGCTATTAAAGGAGCCTACTCTGGAGGCCTTCTGGGTCTGCTGTTCAACAGGGGGCTCAGGGCTGACCTTTGGCCTGGCAGAGCTAGGAGCTAGAAACCCCTCAAGATGGCCAGGTCCAGGGTCCTCCAGCCCCTCTCCTGCCCTCTCTATCTTTTACTTGTAAACAAAGGGGGGGGGACCACATTTTCAACTGTAAGCAAAGTGTAAAAATTTAAAGTTTTAAGTTGTAAACAAAGTTTTAAAATGTTTTAAATCTTGTCCTGTAAACAAAGTAACAAAATCTAAAAGTCCCCAGTTCTGGGTGTCAAAGTAATAAAAGAGAGGTTTGTGAACAGGGTCCTAACAGTCATTTTTCCCTTTAGAAAGGAATAGAATAGGGTAGAACTAGCAGCCCAGGTGCCTAGGGCCAGGGAGGGTCCTGTAAACATGGGAGGCAGTGGCACCTACATTCTGTGTCTTCAACTCTCTTATTTCTGCTCCCCCTTGCTCCCCTGCCTCCCCCTACCCCTAAGAAGAAATTCTAGCACAGGGCAGTGTCAGGGAATCCAGTGGGACCATAGACAACATTTGCCGGAAGCAGGGGCTGGCAAATGACCCCCTGGTCCACCCTCTCCAGGAATGTCTGAGTAGAGGCCTGAGCCCCTCCATGCAGGAGAAAGGGAAGCCTTGCTCTGTAAACATGACACGTGCAGCGCCCCACAGCATCAGTCCTAGGTCATAAGGCAGTAAGTGGCAGGGACTCCACATAAGAAACACACACATCCACGGGGAGGGGCAGCACGAGCAAAAGCCCCATGAGGAGGTCGGAGGACCCCGGTTTCCAAGACCAACCCCCAGTCCCTGAAGTTTGGCCCTTGGGGCATCTGAGAAAGAGCAAGGATCAATTCTGTACTTTGGGCCCTAACAATATTCAGATCAACGGGCGGGGGGCTATGTGCCCCTCCTCTCTGAATCCACCCCAGTAAGATGAGAGGAAAGAGTGTGTGATTTGCCAGGGACCCGAATGGGGCCAAACACTGCACCTCTTACCCTCTGTCCCCTTCCCCCTCCCAGCCCAGCCTCAGAACCCCGGAGACAGAAAAGCTGAAAAATAACATAAGCATATCTCTCTGGTTACAAAGGTACAAAACGTATAAAAGTCCTCCTTTCAGGTCCCTCCCCCTGCACCTGTTACACAGGCTCACACGCTCACAGACAGAGCGAGGCGTCTCAGCACTGTGACAACAGGAGAGCAGGGGTGGGGGTTGGGGTGGGAGGCTGCCTTGGGATCAGCCCCCAACTCCTGGAGTCTCTTCTGTTAGCTCAAATCCTCCATGGCCCTCAGCCGTTCCTAGTCCAGAAGTCTGCCCCTCAGGAGTGCCCCTCGCTTCTGGGAACTCTGTAGAGTGGAATGCAATGGTCAGAGGTGGTTGGGGAAAGAACTCAGTCAGGGGCCTCTTGGCCTCCCCCACGGCCTGGCCCCCCACCATCTCCCTCCTCCCACAACCCCATCACCTTTTCCTCTCACTCCCCAGCCCCCTTACACCCATTCTGGGGTTCTCAGACCCCTTCACCCCTTCTGCACCCTGAGACCCATCAGCAAATCCCCCTGGTCCCCTGTCGTCTCTCTAGGCGCTCAGCAAGCACCTGCTGTGGACGAACACTATGTTAGCTCTTGGCAGATTTGGCCTCAAGAAACCTCCACATCTCAGTTACTACAGACCCATTTTACAGATACAGAAACAGAGACTTGGGGAGGTCAAGAGTGACTCCAAAGCCCAAATCCCCGCACAGTTCCCCAGGAACTAACCCCCCACCAGCCTGACATCAAGGCTAGCTGTAGTTGAGCCCAAGCAATACTCCTAGCTCTCCCTCAGCCCTGCGTCCAGCACCCTTCCAGAGTCCCTGGCACAAGGCCCTAAGCTACCTGCTCCTCCTTCCTTTCTCCTCCTCTGACTCCCCTTGGGTTCTATTGGTCTCCTGCCCCACTCCTGGGTTCCCCCCGCCCAAGCCTCCTTTTCACCCTGCAGACCTCCATAGAGCCTGACCTAGCTCTTCCTCCTTCCTGAAACTCAACTCTTCTCTTGGCTTCCAAAGCCTGGCAACCCCTGGTGCCTCCCCACTCCCTCTCCAACTCCTGTGTATCCAGTGGCTTTCTGGGTATGGCTGCTGCTCCCTGCACTTCCAATGGCACGCGGGCCCCTGAGATGCACCAGATCCCAAGGTGTGCTCCACCCTGCAGTGCCTAGAGGCACGAGGAACTTCACATTGACTAAATAAATACATGGGTAAATGATTTACTTTCAAGATTAGGGCTTCAGCCTGAATGAGATGCCCCCATCCCGGCACCACTTCTGGCCCCTCCTTGTCTGTTACCACCTCCTAGGCAAAGCCTCCCAAGCCATGATCCCTCCTTTCCCCCTTGTCCCTTTTTATACCATGTTATCTCCTCCTTCTAGGCCTTGGCTCCTGCTCTCACCCCCTCCACTAGCTCAAGCCCTTTGGAAGGCATTTCCTTCACTTCCCTAGCCCGGGAGGTGCAGGGGAGGGAGGCTGGCAGCACTCAGACACCCGGCGAGTCCCTTCTAACCACACCACCATTCCCTGCCTGTGGCCCGCTGGCTGCACCGAGCCTGGGTTAGCCCACGCTGCCAACCCACACCCCCATTCTGTGGCAAAACACAGGGCAGGGTCCTCGGAGGGTGCCCTAAGCTGATGAGGGTGTGGGCAGGTGGCCACATCCTGCTTACTCTGAGTCTGGAGACAGCTCCGAGATGCTGTGGGACGTGGCAGAGCGTGGTGTGGAGGGCCCAAGCGCAGAGGCTGTGGCAGAAGGCGTGGCAGTGGTGTGAGGGCCCGAGGGCGTGCTGGAGGACTGCACAGAGGAGGAGAGAGCTGAGGAGTTGAAGGAGGCCAGGATAGAAGAAAGAATGTCCAGCTGCTCTGTGGAGGGGCCGTGGCTAGGGCCACTGGCTGGGTCCTCCCTAACTCTGAGCAGCTGTGGGGGTGGCCCGAGGCCTTCTCGTGAGGGGTGCCGGCTAGGCACATGGTCCAGCGGCTCCCCTGAGTTCGATCTCCTGGACAGAGAATCCAGGGGCCGGGATGGCAAGAGGGGGTCCCTTGAGAGTTGCCGCTGGGGAGACAGGGACAAAGGCGGGGGCTGTGGGTCAAGGTCCCGGGCACTGTGGGGCAGGGGCAATGTGTTCAACCACTCGCAGGGCGCCCCTGGGTCCAGAGCATCTCGTGACCCGAAGCGGCCGGCCCTGACCCCAGGGTAGTCCCT